TACTGGTACGTTCATAGCTGTGTTTTTCTTTGAGTCATTCTATGTGTCTATGACTAGACAGTCTCTGTTTACAGTTGTATTCCTTCAGACTTACCATGGGTTTTTTTGTTGTTTTGTTGGGGGTTTTTTTTGCAAAATTTAAATATTTCTCATATATATATTTAGCCAGGTGTGCCGCTATTTTTTCATGTGTTCCAAGGTGTGCCGTTGGCAAAAACAGGTTGAGAACCACTGATTTATGTGGTATGCGTACAGGCAACTGATCACAATTGATTTCCACTTGGATATTAATGTTAATACTCGTCACTTCGACCGGTTCCAACATTCTCCAGAACTTTCATTGGGTTGCACACGTCCCATTACCGATTCGGCAACATGTGATATCATCTTGCCCAAAAGCACGTTCAGTATGAAAATCTTGAGAAACATAAATTGAAAGTAGCAGACAAGTAAACATGTAACTATCCGTCTTCAATTTCAACGTAATTACCAACATTTTAACCCCGTCGCCATCCAGCCTTTCAAGTTCTGTTTACTAGTTTCTGGGACAAGTTGCACTTTCTCTAAAGCAACAGGTAGTGTTACACATCAAAGTATTCACAGTTCCATACCGTGGATTATAACTCTATAGACATTATAGTCATTATATCACACTGTGATATACATAGTCATCAAGCCTTTATGGGCATAGTTACATATCACACAGGGATTAGACCACATCAACATTCTGTGCCAACTTTTTACAAAATGTGCTGTTCACAAGCTATATACTCTTCAAAACAAATATAATAATAAAGAATAGAATCTGTATGTGTGTTTTTTTTAAATATATATATATATATAGCTGAAATAAAATGGGGTTTAACTTCCTACCGTTTTGCTCCGACTGGGCTAATGAAGACGGGCATATGCCATATATAGTATGCTATGAGAGACATTTTGCCCTGACAACGGCATTATGAATCTTATTTCGAATTTTCAATGGTCAAGGGTTCTTTTATGCGCCCGCCAATGTGTACTTAGAACCTTGTTTTTTCGTCCCATCCGAACGATCGAAAACGGGACAACGAGATTAGCGAGCCAACGTCTTACTCACTGAGCCACCGCGCTCACCTACCCTAAAACTCAGATATGTAGTTACATTATAGTCCTTTGTGGCCAGAACAAATTTAACTAGGACTTCGTAATTACAATCGATAATTGAAAATATATGTCTGACTGTACACGACTACGTTCAGCACGTGTTTTGTTACATATTTAAATTATTTAAAAATAATCTGAACAAACGAAATAATAAGCATTTTATTGAAAGGGGTGGAGGTGGAAGAGAAATGAAATGAAATGGGGTTTAACGTCCAACTGTTCTGCTTCGAACTGGGCTAATGAAGACGGGAGGTGGAAGAGTGTGCACTCCTTTGTTCCAGGGAGTCACTCAGGTGTTGGGCGAGAAAGTTCGTCGTGCTTTTTCGACGAAAATCCGAGGCCCCGTATTCCAATTGGCGTACACGTAAATTAACCATTGAAAGTTGGAATTTGAAATAAGAGTAGGCCGATGTCCGGTCACAATTTCCCACGCTAACCCAGAAACCCCATTTTCTTTCTTAAACCGTATCAGCAAATTATCTGGTACGCTGATTCCAATTCTCCTACGGCAAAGATGACGTCCTTCTTCTAAGGCTACAAAAGGAAGTCTATGTCTGTCTTTAATGGAGTGTATATATTTAAAATATTTTAAAATGATCTGTTATAATTCTGAACAAACAAAATGTCGTGTATTTGAACAATATAGCCCGTTTTACGCAACTGAAATTCTGATCTTGCTATTAAACATGCGTTTGTCGTGTCTTTCTGCAGGAAATCATCAAATGATCTTATCTTAAAACAAAGAGAAGTACATTATCGTCATTAACGACCGTGATTGATTGCCCAAGTATAATAACATAAGAACACGATCAACTCGGACAAATTCTAATAGAATCTGTCAAATTAACGAGCAAATGCAAGGCTGGAAATAGACGAACATGGAATAACTTTTATTATGAACCAATAAATTCGATCCGCTTTTATTGTTAAAGTCCTGTAGCTGCTGCATCTAAAATGCCAAACTACTTTTAAAATTGCATATATAAATGCCCGTGGTCGTCCCCGAGGCAGGTGTCCGTAAGTTTTATATTACCTGTACCGCTTATTTATTTGGAAATACTAAGTTTAATAGTAATAATTAATATATGAGAATTCCATAACAAATCGTGGAGCACGGCCTGGACACTACTAGGGAATACGCATTCATAGGGGTCTAAAGTAATAACATAATTTAAGTCAACCTAGCTGGAGACTTATCTCTGTTCGATTTCTTTGGAACAATACGATTACAGATAAATGCGATTTGTGGTTTAGCATCTGGTCCCACATAAGTGCTATCGCAGTCAAGTAAACGATTGTCCCTTTAGTATTCTCTGATATCTACGGAAGACCATTAGGGTCATCAGTTGAAAGAAATTATTCGGATTATCTCGTAATTACAAGGTACTTATCTCGCAATTACAAGATAATTATCTCGTAATTATAAGATAAGTATCTCGTAGTTATAAGATAACTTTCTCGTAATTACAAGATACGGAGAAGCCCATTTGGGTCAGTCAAATGAACAAAAAGGATTTTCGTAATTACGAGATAATAAAAAAATATTTTTTAATCGGATTGAACCAAATGGTATTATGTAGATGGCAGACCAATCTTTTTGTAAGGTTAAAAATTTCGTTTTACTTGTCTTCAATACACGAGGTCCCTGAAGAGTTGACAAATAATTCGCCTCCTGGTTGGTATGGGGTATTAACCATAAAATAGTCTTTTGGGTGGAGTTCTTAACGTGGGTAGACATTCGCAGCGATTGAAAACAAATAAAAAAAAAGTTTTATTTCCGAATACCAACTCAAAACAACGAAGCTGATTGGTTGATCGAATAACTTACGTCATAGGGTAAAGAGGCGCTTGTGTAGCCCCTGATGCGACCTCCCAATACAAACGGTCAGATCTTTGTGTTGTCGAGGCCATAGAAAGTATAAAAACGAAACGAAATACAGATTAGTTTTCTTGTCTGCGATATCACATATTTCACACACACAGACCCGTTTTTAATCAGCCTGATATCAGATACGTGATGTCACAAGTGACGACTAGCTAGCAACGTCATCTTTTGGACCACACTTTCGAGCTGATCGCCAATCCTACAGTGGTTTAAAACTGCAATATTTTTAGTATAATTATTTATGAAGTTTTATGTTTTGAGGATACACGCCATCATTCGAGTAGCATAGCTTAAATCCAACAAATACTTCGTTAGTCTTCCTGACGTTATAATCTTCAGTAGAATATCATTGGTGCCATTTGTATGAATATTGCATAATGCTGGATGAATTCACATATTTCAGCTCCGGTGAACTTATATTTGAAAACGTGCTTTTATTCAAGTGAAATATATGGTTAATCTCGAGAAACTACTGTATACATGATGATTAACACATTTGAAAATGGCACCAAATATTCTAATGTTATAGCACCTCGCATGTCAAAGAAGTCAGTGGGCTATTGAAATAGAGCCACACGTCGGTCCGTCGTCATACATTTTAGGACACAATACTTCTGCTTATGATTAAGCTAGGTGTCCATTTGTGGAGAGCGGGAGATGCCAGACCGGTCGCCACATCATACGTACGACCCATACATCTTTTCTTACTACATATTTCTGTAGCCTTGTGATCGTCTAGTATTTGTCTCTAGCTGTCTTTACTTCTGATTCACGTTGTGTATTTACTTCTTACAGTTTTCTTAAGACGTTTGTCTTACCAGGAATAACAATGCAACAGTTCGTTTCTACATTTTATATATATATAGCCGAATACATGTATACAAGCATAATATATAACAATACTAGCTAAAAACATTTCTCCACCCTAGCCAGCCTCGCCGCTGTCTAGGAACTCAGATGGAACCTCTCTGGAATCTAATGGAAGTCTGCTTGAAAGTTTCAAATAGATATCTTATATAGCACTCACGTATATCACCCATAACAAAGCGCGTGCATGGCCCTGAACTTGTGTAATTAACAAAATGATTGGTTCAATTAAACCCAATGACGCAATAGTACTTTTCCTTGCACACGTGCTCTCTGTGATATTTTATAGACACATGCTTTGGCTAAATAACTCTTTTTTATATAACAATATGTCATTTATACCCTAAGTTGATTTAAGTGCACACTATATATAATATATATGTGAATATGTGTGAAACTATTAATTTGACAAATATATTAATTAATGAAATATAAAGTCATCTTATTTCTCTATTCTTTGTCTATAAATTTAAAAACAATGTCGCCACGACTATATTGCTACATTTGTTCATTAGGTAAATGCCTCTATTGGTAATAAACATTTCATGCTTAGGCTAAGCAGTGATGCGCAATTTTATTGGTCGAGACCTTGGGACATAATAACTCTAATTGATGCATAGTTTCATGACATCAATATCTTGATTAATATCAGTTGAACTGATTATTCGATGCTTTATTAAACTAAAAGATAAATGTACAGGTAATTAATATGTGTTATATGTTTATTTTGGGATTGAGGCGGGAGACAACAGCTTTAGTGTTGACTCCTTTTAAGACCGAATTTCATTATTTATTGATAAACTGAACAATTTAGGATGTCCTCAGAAAGTCACTAAGGCTTAATTATAACCAACTGGGGCAATCAATTTATTTTATTTATTTTTTTAAAAAAATACTTAGGCAATGTTTGCTTTTGTTGGATACATGACTGCAACTCTCCATTTTCAAACATCTACTATAATAAAAACGTCGCTTCAGTGATTGAAACGCGAAATCCACTAGAAGATAAATGATCTGCCAGGCGATAAACGTGTAATCTATCCTAACAGGACCATCATTTTCTAAAACAAATGATTTCATGATGACATTTTTATTTCTATTTCAGAGCTTTGATAGATACAACTATATATGGATTAACGGGATCATTAAAATTTGATACCGGTGGATATTTAAATATTTCATCTTTTAAAGTGAGGAATTTAGTGTTTGATGGTCGCGGTAACGTATGGCGTGATATTGGATGTATTCAGGGAGATGATGTGCGACCATTTGGGATTATTTGGCCGGGAGATGCCTCGTCTCCAGACTCTAAGACACAAGGACGCAAGCGCTATCGTGTGGTGACGAACCCCGTTCAGCCATTTGTGATGCAAGAAGCTCCACATAAAGATTATCAAAGATGTGTGACGGACACCACGTGTCTAAAACTCTTTTCTAAGGATAAAGCTAAAACAATAGCAGCAATACGAGATTACGAACAACAGATATATCGTGAAAATAAAACATACGAAATTCACTGCTGTAGAGGTCTTGCTATTGACCTGCTGAATAAATTGGCAAGTGATCTGGATTTCGACTTTACCTTATTTATTGTACAGGATGAAACGTACGGTAGGAAGGTGAACGGCAGTTGGAACGGCATGGTGCGGGACTTAATGGATGGAACAGCCCATTTCGCCGTGGGAGCCTTTAGTATTACACGGGTACGATCTGAAGTGATCGATTTCACGGACCCTTATTTTTTTTCAGGGTTTTCTATTTTGTATTCCGAGAAAACCCGCGAAACAAATATGGATGCTTTTTTAGAACCTTTTGCGCTTCAAGTGTGGTTTGCAATATTTGTCAGTGCTACTCTTTCCGCAATTGCCATGGCCTTATTTGAATGGAACAGTCCATTCGGATTAAATCCATGGGGTCGAAAACGAAAATCAAATTATACTCTAGCTTCTGGATTAACTATGGTGTATTCTGTGTTATTTGGTCATACTGTTAAAACGAAATCACCGAAAGCCTGGCCCAGTAAAGTCATGCAAAACTTTTGGGCGTTTGCTGCCATTTTTATCATTGCTAGTTATACTGCTAATTTGGCTGCCTTTATAGCAGGAAAACATGCTGGGATAGATTATACGGATATAGGTGACTCAAGGGTAAGTCAAATATTTTATTGATCTAATTTATTTAAAATATCTGATCGAATGCTTTTGATGAAACTAATAGCATATCCTGATTCAATACGAACTGTTCTGCGAAACACTTGAGATTAGTGGGCTGGGTTGTTCTGGCTACTGCCTGTGTCCCATGGTTCTTCATACACCCCAACATCTGACTAATCAAACAGTAGCAGTTAGACTTGATGCATTAAAAGTAGGTCTTTTAAACCTCTAGTCCAAGTCTACAGGTCCCGAATCATTGTTTTAGCCATTTCACAGTAAGCAGGTTTTCAGCTGAATCGCAAGAGCACGCCCTGGTTCAAAGCAAAGGTAATAAATAGTTTGAAAGAGAAACTTTCAATGTTCCATTAAATCTGTAGTCTTTTCACCTTAAAATCGCTAAAGATAGAAAGACATGCCTTTAAACTCTATGACTTTGATAAACACATATAGAAAATTAATGCGTCAGAAGAAAAGTAAGAGTTGGACATTACATGATATGACCACAATATACTGAAGACGCAGTATTTTCCACATAAAAATTCTAATGATGGAAAACCATACCCGCACACCCAAGAGTATCAATGACTTTGATAAACACATACAGACAATTAATATTTTAATGCGCGAGAATAAAAGAAGAGTTGAACAATGTGTTATAATTACCGTAATGGATTTTGAATTTGAATGACATTTAGAATAGATGTAACTATATTTTATTATTGACAGTGTAAATAACATTGAACATGATGGCTACAGCAACACTATTGTTATATAATATAAATAGATATACATAGTTACATGAAAAGAAAAAAAATCTATATTATATCGATTAATGTCATAAATAATTGCCATTGAAAAACTAGACAACATATTTTAAGTGTCTTCCCTTGTCGCTAAATATCACCTTTGCTATAAAAATGACTAGAGCAAGCCCCCGACTAACCAGTAAGAAGAGGAATACGATTTTGTTTAGGGAAGGGAATACCGGATTGGTGTAGAGGGGAGAGTGTACGGGTTGCGTACAGAATGCTAACATTTGTTCCAACTGTGAAGATACTTGAACTTGAACCAGTTTCTTTCATTTTTTTCGGATTAAACATTTTAATAAGGACTACCCCAAGGGATATGCTCTTATCTTTAAGCACTCTATAATATCGGTTTTCCCTTATAATTTAGGTAATTGAAACTTTTCTATATTGTGTTTACAGAGAGATCAAAGGACGGATCATATCAGCTTTGCTTTGTATAATATTTGTATATACAATGTATGTTTATTTTTAGTTACTAGATATACGTATAGGTCTATTACCAGGAAGTGCTGTTGGGGGATTTTTAGAAAAAATATCCAGTAAGTTATATGCCATGTCTACTGCTGTACCTACTACAGATACTGCCATTGAAATGATCATGTAAGTATTCTGGACTCCTGGAAACAATGTGTGTTTGATTGGTCGCTATCCAAAGTTCAATTCCTTACTGGCCACTTTAAAGTATTAGATATTATCACCCTGAACTTTAGAGTGTTAGAATTTATCATCCTGAACTTTAGGGTCTTAGAATTTATCATCCTCAACTTTAGGGTCTTAGAATTTATCATCCTCAACTTTAGGGTGTTAGTATTTATCATCCTAAACATTAGGGTGTTAGAATTTATTATCATGAACATTAGGGTGTTAATTTATTATCATAAATTTATCACTTAGAGAGTTAGAATTTATCATCCCTGAATCTTAGTGTTAAAATTTATCATCCTGAGCTTTCGAGTCCTAGGATGTATCATCCTGAACTTTAGCGTGTCAGATTTTACCATCCCTAAACTTTAAAGTGTTAGAATGTATCATCTGGAACTTTAGAGTGTTAGAATTGATCATCATGAACTTACGAGTGTTAGAATTTATCAACCCTAGCTATGGAGTCTTGGAATTTATCACCCTGAACTTTAGAGAGTTAGAATTTTATCATCCATGACTTTACAGTTTTAGATTGTATCATCCTGAATATTAAAGTGTTATAATATAGCATCCTGGACTACAATCCAGTCTTTATAAACTGAAGAATCCCGGTGATATTTCAGTTTCATCCAGGTAGAAAATTAAAAGAGAATGGATTTTGAATACACCGGGATACATATTCTTTCTGATAAACATCAATTAAACACATCCACAATTTTCGATTCATGCAATCTATGAATATTTTGTTCTTGTATTCATGCTGCGCACCTTCTAGTGCTGTTGTAGCATAAAGCTCATAAAATACTGTTCATTGCTCTCCGCAATTTCGATATAGACAACTTTATGAATTGATTGAATATTCGACACCGACAAGACTGCGCGGCTACCACTCTGCTGAAGACTGCGATCATTATGAGCACAACGTACGACCAAAACCGAATTCAAGCGATAAAATGTCACCTTAAAGGGACAATCTCAATTTTAACAGAGTCTCAGAAATAAAAGTCAGTGTACGTATGGAATTTAAACGCGAAAATATAGAAGATGTGTGTATTTATCTTGTCTCAAAATCTCAGCTCAAAATTTGAGTCGTTTGGACGTGAACGTCAAAACCGCTTATCCGGACACGTAATCCATTTAAGATTTCGGGTCAATTTTTTTCGTTGGGTGACCAGATAATCTATTGTCGTTCCTTTAGAGGTTTATACAGTGTTGTACTTGGGACACCGGTTTCCATTTCCACATGAAGAATGACGGGTTTAAGTTGTTTGAAAACGTATCACGTCTATAGAGTTAGTTGCGTGTTCGATCCTTGCGTTGGCCGAGAAAGTTCATTGGGATTTCCCGGCGTGGTTTCACCTTGTCAGTGGTGTAAAACGGAGGGCCTAACAAGGGACAACGTATAGTCGTTCTGGGGACAGAAAACCGAGGTCCCGTGTACACATTGGCTTGAACGTAAAAAAAAACCTTTACACCTAGAATTCGAAATAAGAGTAGACAAAAGCGCCACTGCCCGGACAATATTTCCCTCATAGCCCGTCTTCATTATCCCAGTAGGAGCAGAACAATAGGACGTTAAACCTAATTTCATTTCATTTCATTTCATTTCCTCCTTAGCCAAGTTGATTCAGAAAAGTGACATGTTATTAACCGCATTCCATTTCAACTGAACCGGTTTATTACAAAATAATGCAAAAACAGAGGAAGCGACAGAGACAATAAACAATAATAAAAGAATAGACCTGAATTTTCATGTTAATAGATATAACTTGATATACCATAGTGAAAGATACACGGGAAAGGTGTTGTAGAGTTACGGTTATTTTTTTTTAAGTATATGCAGATGTATTTTGGTTCTTAGAAAACACCAATTGCCCAAAAATCTTTTCAAACTTATTGTCCGAAAATTCAATTTTTATATCTGTAAATATTCAGTATTTATATATATGTCAATTCCGTTCTACTAATAGATCTTAATCATGACAGGTGGTGGGGTAAGACACCTTGTCCACTCTTTAAAGATAGTTATATAGTGTTGCCACACCACAGATTGCTATGTTTGGTTGGTTGGTTATTCACGCTTCCTTCATTGCCTCTGAGATGTTATGAGAAATATCGCTACAGTGCCTTACAATTTACGAATTAAATACGGGATAGAAAAATATCATTCTTCGAGAATGGCATTTAATTAAATATTTCATTTTGAGCGTGTACATTCTGCTTGAAGGTTTTATATCTTGAATGTAGCTAAAGCCAGGTTTTGTGGTTAGATAAAATATGTGTAAAACGTAATTCTAAATCCTCATTTCAGTTAATTTAGCCGCTTGAAATGAGCCCTAAGAGATCTCAATAGTTTTATTGTTCCCTTCTAAGTTTTAATTTTGTCTGTTAACGGAATTCTCGTTGGTCCGCTAATCTTGTTCAAGGTTTGATATATGTCAATTGAGACACTTCTCCAAGTTTGTTGAGAAAATAAAATCAATAGTTGTATTGTGGGTAAAAAAAGAAACGGAAGGATATTGCAGCAAGTTGGGTCGTAACTTATTGACAGAACGTGACGTTGTCAAGATGGTATTTCTTTTTAAAAAAACGAACGTCAATACGAAATGGCTCGCACAAAGCGTAATGTTAGGGCCGATTATTTGTAATAGATTTTATAATTGATAGATTTTTGTTTATACTCTAATTATTGCGAATTTGATATAAAAATTATACCAATTTTGGAAATTTACACGCCCGTACTGAACCTGCAATTTATTGACTAATTGCTGGAATATTGTTTTGCTGATGAAAGATGGAGTGCAAGTCATCTGAGTACAAGAGTAAAGATAATAGAAAATCTAGGATCGTAATGATAGTGTTATTGTTTAACGCCTGTTGAATTACAAATGATATAAAAGGTTAAACCAATAAGTGCTGCATTCTATATCAACAATATATCGACTTTTGATTGTTCACCTTGGATATCGTTAACAAAATATGTATAATAAAGACCATTTGCAGTTAGTAGCAATATGCACAGGTACTTGACGGGATTAAAATAAAACTTCTTACTGTTCCTTGACATTTTGTCTGCTATCATCTCACAATACTCACTAGTTCTAACACTTCCAGTCGTTTTTTATTGCCAACAGGTCTTTATTTGATCATTATACAACTTCCAATGTAATTAAATTGGTCATTTTACAGCGTTATTAATTACAATTCAAACTCGAAGTACTATCACTTGGCGATTACGAACTTCGTCGGATCGGAAGTAAAACGAAATGAGGTCAAAGGAATTCCACTTTTGTTTTCGTTATCCAGTCCCTTCTTTATCATATCCGTTATACGAAATTTGCTTAGGAACTGGGTGATCCAGGCTGCACCAAAACGGGGAGGTGGGGGGGGGGGCTTTATATCGGGTTCTTTATTTAGACGACTAAAAGGCAAAATATTTTTCCCAAAAAATACATTTATTTATTCATTAAAATGTGATGAACTTAAAGCTGTATTGACGTTGGCCATGCTTCATCACCATAAAGAGGGAATACAAGTAGAATTTTTGTGTTTAGTATATCTTGTAAAACATATTTTAATGATGAGAATCATGAACAGAAACATTATATTTGCTATCTGAATTGATAAAGGTGGCCCTTTATTGCTGATCAATCCGAATCACCCGTTTGTTTTATTTTTGGTCAAATTTGAAATGTTATTTCCTTCGTATAACCCGGATGTCCAAGATAAAACTCTAGCACTATAACATCAAACGTATTGACAAGGGTGTCGAGAATTAAAATACATTCTATAAAACATGCATTAATTTTGCATATTTAAATTGTACTGAAATGTGTTGTCTGTGTTTACGAAAAGAAAAGACAAGAAGTTTCCAGGAGCAAAATGGATATATCCCTCAAACTCCAGAATATAATCAAACTATAATCTATATGGCGGGTAAGTTTGGGAAAAATGAAAATAATTAGTAAAACTGCAGTGAATTGGGATTAGAATATGGGGTTATCATTTTTAAAGACTGCGAAACTTTAATTAGTTTTGACTCATATAGTTTGACATTTTGTGTTTTTTTGTTTCAGTGGCGAAAAAATAGATGCTTATTTAGGTGATTACCCAATACTGGACTATGCAAGAGCTCATCTGGCACCACGCTGTGAGCTCAAACTTCTGTTAAAAATATTTGGGGATGATCGCTATGGTTTTGGCCTTCCAAAGGGGTCTCCTTTAAAGGTAAAATAAATGTTTATTGAATTACTGGTCTATGGTTAAAGTAATCAACAAGAATATATAGTAGAACACAGTTTTTTTATGGGAAACAATTGCTAGTTTTATTCTAGAGGGACGAAGTTTCGACAAGAATCCTCTTATCGTTATCAAGCACAATGACATTTAGTAAACTTGAGGTCAATATGAATATTTAGTGCTGCTGCTAGCGTTCTGTTAAATGTGATAACGCCCGTGTTTACGGCCGCACCACCACCGACAATATAGTAGAACACAGTTTTTTTTATGGGAAACAATTGCTAGTTATATTCTAAAGGCACGAAGTTTCGACAAGTATCCTCTTATCGTTATCAAGCACAACGACATTTAGTAAACTTGAGGTCAATATGAATATGTGGTGCTGCTGCTAGCGTTCTGTTAAATGTGATAACGCCACTGTTTACGGCCGCACCGCCACCGACAATATAAACCACGGTTAATTTTGCACTAGCTCATTAACCAGGAGGTCCGTGTGTTGGACGAGAAAGTTCCTCTGGATTTATTTTCCAGCCTGGTTTCTCCTTAACAGTGTTGCAGAACGGACGCCCTGGCAAGGAATGGTGTCTAGTCGCTCGGGCGGCACTAAACCATTGGTCGCACGTTAAAGCTCGCTTGACAGTAAGACATTGGAAAAAGAGTAGACTGTTACGCTGCTGCCTTAGTAAATTTGCCCTTTAGCATGGCGTATGCTTGTCTTCAGTATTCTTGTTGGTGACGAAGAGTAGGACGTTTAACCCGTGACATTTACATCCAGTAATTATGGATATGCAATAAATTGCAGCTCAATTTGCTGAATTTCATTATTTTGGATGATTTATGGGACTCGATGTAATCAGTATTCCTGTGTCAAAAATACAGTATAATCAACATATTTCTAGTTTGACATAATATCTATTGACTTGCATAATTAGAGTGTCAGGAAAATGTTATTAAAACATGGCCAACAACAAATCGACAAGGTCACTTAAAAGTATTTCATCCATCTAGAACTAGATATTTGGCAGGATTAGTATCAATGTTTGACGTAGGTTATAAGCGATGTAGGTAACAGTAATCATAACCAATACAAAGAGTTCACGGGAGCCGCGGTGGCTCGGTGAGTAAGGCTCTGGGTCGCTAATCTCGAGGTCCCGGGTTCGATTTGATGTTGGCCTAGAAAGTAACTCTGGATTATCTAGCACGGTACCTCATTGCCGGGTTGTGGGGATGGGGGTCTGGCGTTACGTAAAGAATCCTTGACAGTTGGAATTCAGTTGCTGTACGAGCAAATTGTCCCTCATGGCACACTGTATGGCAGGTGCTCGTCTGAATTATCCCAGTACAGAGAATTCACGCAATGGTCATGAATTTGACGTTAGTTGTAAAACTTTGGAACTGTAAATAATTATGTCTGCATTTTTTTCTTTACAGGTTGCTTTATCACGAAAAATATTAGAATATCATCAAAATAGTCAGATAGAAGATTTAATAGACGTTCATTTCGCGGACTCTCAGTGTTATAAACAACGTATTAGTCAACAAGAATCTTCGTTGGAAGTGACACATCATGCCGGTCTATTTGTTATGATGTGTGTAGGAATAATGATAGGAATAGTGGTATTGTTTATAGAACATGGCGTATTTAAGTGGCTCGTACCATATTATAGAATGAAACCAGGAGCCAGTTTTTGGAAGAGTTCCCATGTCATGTTCTTCAGTCAGGTTAGTTATTCAAACACATTACATACATTTAAACATACGTCCATTAAATCGATTCAGTTATTATATAATTACTCCACCGTTGTAAAGCTGGTCGTCCTACTGTGAATTTGTGAGACGAACGTCTGAATGGAAATGTCCGACCCTTGACACCATCCTTGAATACAAAGATGATACACACAAAACTATCTGAATTTGCCCGAAATGTGGCTGTACATGCCCACGTCAAAAATCTTTCTGGAAGAAGGAAAGGGGTTTATGGGAACGGATAACTCTGTTTACTATTTTGGCTGTAGACCACTAATTACTTCCTGTATGTCGATAAACACAGTTCCCGGTATTGACAATCCTTCTCTTTTTTACATTTCTCCCCTATTCGATGGCTTTAACTTTTTTTCATCCAATAACCGCTTTTCAGCCAATCACGTATCTCCAGCGCATTTTTAAGATTAAATTGGGGATCTATTAAAGTGCGAAATCTCGATATTAAAATAGTTTAATGGGCATGATCTGAACAATTGTCTGGTGACCTCAGATAAATGTTTAAAGCAGTATCTACCATGTGTTGCTGTTCTGTCTTACAGAGATTACATCGGTCCATTACCAGTGCCGAGTTATTGTCCGCCCATGAATCTGCCAGGGAGTTGATCGGATTGGTGAAAAATCGTGAGTTTGCCAGGCTCTTTCAAAAAAGTACAATTAGGGTGAGTAGTGTTTTTGTTTGTCTTTATTGTGTAATGCACCAACTAAAACATCAAAGGGAGGTTGCGAGTGATCGGTATATGTAATGTCCCATAGTTTCTGTACAAATAGTAACCTATCCTTAGACCTCATTAATATTCATTAGGTCCACCAATTGCTTATATGTATAAGTGTATTACTATACAAGAGACTGTAGATAATTAAAAGCTTAGCAGAGTTATAATAGCAGTTGTGGTCTTTGTCTTATATTATATAAAAGCTATAGGACATTACAATACATAACGGACATCACCTTGTTTGCGACATAACCCAATATAAAATTTGATGCTCGAATATTGTCTAGGGGATGTGTATACTCTTTATTCTTAAATATAGATGCATTTAAAGCTCATTGACAAGGAAGTAGGACGAGCGGTGTGTTATTTTTAACTAATTAGAATCAAAGTAGAAAGTGACGTAGGTAGATTCTCAAGAAAATGCTACTACCACGTTTTCTAGTTTCTAGATCACCTGTTTACGTCACTGTCTGCTCGCATTTTACATGTTAAAACTTGAACTATATATTAATTCTCGAAAATAATGACAAGGCCACATGCTTCATTATCTGTATAACCTCTATATGGGAATGGGGTGGAGTGGAAATACACAGATAAACTTTACTGTTATCATCCCAGCATGTTACTATCCTAATGGGTGTAGATAACAAACCTTATCTCTCAACCCTCCGCGTTTCGAGACACTATATAGTTTTACCTGGCAAAATCCCAACGGGCTTCAAACAGCAAAATTGTCATTTTTTTCTTCAAAACAACGATTGATTATTGTTTTGTTTTTTTCATAACATTTCTGCCACATCCAACTACAATTAAGCATATAATCTTACGGGTACAAATCATCTCTTTTAAATCAAAGCGATAATAACTGACTTTCCTCCGGCATTTTAAATTTGACATCTTTATGTAATTGAGGCTAAAAATATGTCATGTACAACAGCCAATCAAAATGCGCGAAAAGTAGGATAACCTTTACAGGTCGCAAGAATGGCTTTGTCAATTCTGTTAGAAACACCGCTTGAAAATTTTACTGACAATATCTGCATATAAACGAAAGATGTTTCACTTCATTGGGCTAGGTATGTTTAACTAGTCCCAATAGTATAAAATTAACTTATTTTTAAGATGTTACATGCATTATTAAAGAAATTAATTTTGCCAGGTGAAACTAAAGGCATCCAATCGTAGCTAAAAAGATAAGCATATAACTATATCTTAACGTTTTTAGCTACGTTCTCGTAACTGTAATTGGTGATGGTCATTTTATATAGTTTTTCCTTTTCTATACATAGATTCATGTAAGTGGATAGAGACATGGTTAAAGATAAGGTTGATGTTTTTCTTACTATGTCTTAGTTTATTGTCTGGGAGCATTTTGAATCTTAATATTTTTATTCCATTCACGGCCCCCAGATGTATATTGTAAGCTGCGTTTACAACCAATAGCGATACAATTCGTGTTTAAAAATAACAGTGTGTTAAATGGGTTTGGATATTCGAAATCTATGAGGCCAAAGTAATACCATAAGAGATTTTTGAATAATTCTGGGCGTATTCACTGTTTCACAGATATGTTATATATTTTATCTTAGAATATATATTTATCTTAGATGCAATAACTGTTTAAACAAATGCAATTCTTTAATGTGTCACATTTTGCTGAAAAAAAAGTCAAAAATAGAGTTTCTCCACCCCACCCCCTCCCGAATTAATGTTTAAATTTCACTTGTTCGCGATTAGGTGGCGAAAAGGCACGTAAAACAGTACTGTCTTTAGTTCATTATTTGTTTCTCTTGATAGTCCTTTCATTGTAAATATGCCTTCTAATTTATCCATCAAGAGTTTGTTTCAAACCCCTCTCAAAACGTTTTAATCTTAAAAAAACACTACCCCATGCCGTGAGAACCTATTTTTATTAACCTTATTTATCACGTTAATTGACTGAGGGGGGAATCCATTTTCACCTCAATGCCGTTAGCCGTTGTCCAACGACCATAATTATCGAAGTATATTCCTGGATTAATATCTGCCAACTTCCTTTTCCGTCGTTTAATCACAGTCTACCGGGCGTTTAATTCTCTCAATGTTCTCACAACCGTTAACCATTAGGTCAACACATACAGAACGCTCATTTCGCCACGCGAGGAGACAGGCGGGCTTTTAGGGGTACCGTCATATGTTTGTCTTGTGTGCGCCACATGGGAGTTTTTTAGGGAATCCAGTTTTATCTTGCAAGTTAGGCGCCTCTCCTTTACATATTTACCGAAATTGCTATACTTTTATTGGAAAAAAATTGCCCGATAAATATGTATCTTTAAAACTGTAAACGCAGCTATTTTTCGTGATAAATATTATTATGTCATGGTGATAAGCCCCTGGTGTCAAACAGAATGCTTGATGTCAACCTGCTTTTGTTATTTCTGTACACGGTTCTAATGCTACAGATACATGCATGTGAGCAGAAAATCCACTTACACGTTCATTGTCTATTCTCATTACGTTTATCATTTCTCAGCAATTTATCACTTGCATAAAGTTTATTGATAATGTTTGCACACCCATCACTGCTTATTTATCAAGAACTTGTCACATCTAACTTATTCATCACTGTCAATGTTTTACATTTTGTCTCGTAAGAGAAATGTTTGTTGGGATATTGCATGTATGATAAATACCCAACATTTTACATACTTCCTTTCATTCTTCATAAAGTTATAAAATGCAGAAAACACATAATACTGTTACCATAGAGTATCTCATGGATAACCTTATAATAATAATTTCCGTATAACAAATAATATCTGTTTTATAATAGGGTCGCTTGTGTAACCCATGGATACAGTTTCTCCTTTTAATAAACATATATTTTATAGTTAATGAGATGTCCCTTATAGCAGATGTATATTTTATAATCTGCGAAGTTTTAATAGGGTTTGTCACGTAACAAATGGGTGAAGTTTTAATAGGGTTTGTCACGTAACAAATGGGTGAAGTTTTAATAGGGTTTGTCTTGTAACAAATGAGTGAAGTTGTAATAGTTGTAATGTAACAAATAAGGTTTGTCATGTAAAGAATGGGTGAAGTTATAATAGGATTTGCTATGTAACAAATGGGTGGCGTTATAATAGGATTTGCTATGCAACAAATGGGTGAAGTTATTATAGGGTTTGTCATGTAACAAATGGGTAAAGTTGTAACATTATTTGCTATGTAACAAATGGGTGAAGTTATTATAGGGTTTGTCATGTAAAAAATGGGTAAAGTTATAATATGATTTGCTATGTAACAAATGGGTGATGTTATTATAGGGTTTGTTTGTCATGTAACAAATGGGGAAAAGTTATAATTGGGTTTGAAAATGTTTAGTATACTATGCGAATGGACTAAATTATAATATGGTATCCGATGTAACCCATGTGTAACGTTATTTCCCCATTTAAGCCACAGATTGAGTTATAATATGGTCTACTGTTTTTTGTAACAAAGGGACAAAACTATGGCGGAAACTTATGCGTGCTTTCTCCCTTGTTCAAGTTGACTTAAGCCTAGCTCACAGCCCGCCTTACGTGTTTTTACACGCACGGGTCGTAGGGTTTGGTAGCTCGTAAAACAGCCCCAAGAACCTGGGTGAAAATTTTGTATGTGCAGGATCAAAAGTCTCTACGGCCAGCCTGCCGAACACGCGCAATTGACGCACGGGTATACTAACATTTTCCTCGTAGACTGACCGTTGACAACGTTTAATACATTTATCCATGGATCGATGTTTCCCATACATGTTTTGCCATTAGTAACCAATCCTAAATATATATCTTTAACAAAACTACAGGTAATAGAGATAAGAATTACAAAGGGTTACAATATTATTCATTCTTGAAATGCCTGTCAAAGGTATTGGTTTGGCTAAACTAGCTCTTCCCATAATCATATATCATTGATCTTTGTTCAAACAAAATTATTCTTTAGAAAAGACAAGGGGTCATCACTGCGACTGAGAGGAATGGAGGAATCTGCCACTCAAATACTTAATTTATCCAATCAGATGTCAGGATTTCATTTACTGTTATTCACTAGGATGAATTTAGAACACTTGAGACTGATTGAAATCAAATCACGCAACGTTTACAAAAACTACTTACGCTTTTATGAGTTTGAAAAGCAAATGTACTCAGATCTTCTTTGGAGAATAAAAATTGTAGCACATTGATTTTTTTTTCTTTAAAGGCGTTTTTCTCAATTTTGAAAATAGTAAATTCCTTACGCTGGTTTCATCTGAAGAGTGCGTATTAAATACAATTTGAGCATGAAATCGATCAAATGGAATTTCCGTTCATTTGAATATGTGTCTTTGGTGTTAATATCAATGCAACCTGTCTATTTATGTTGGATAGAATGGGTTTTTTAAAGAATAAATTAAGAAATATTCACAGAAACCAGAAATGAAACAAAAATAACCCCTCGCCAAGATTTATGTAAATAGATTCATGGATTACATGATCAAATTGATGTAAATTCAATTCAGAATTGTTGAACAAAATAAAAACTCGCAAGTCAACACAATAAATGATTTATTATTTCCTAGTGATGTGGATATAATCCAAAGTTGTTGTTGAATTAATAGGTCCGGGTTCCAATTCACGAACAGTTTAGTATTAACTGGGCAACTTTTTTGATCGCGTGTTATTATTAAATGCTTTGTAATACTAGTAGGAGAGGAACATGTTTTACTCTGTATTCCATTTATCATTGAAGAGGGTATGACCTAAGATGGTAATTTCCTTTGGTCTTGGAACAACCTTCTCGTGTGGTTGAACTGCACTTTTATGCCGTCGCCCCTCTCCGTCCGTGTGTCTGTGTATCCGTGTGTCCGTCCACATTTTGTTTGTTGACACTCTACAGATCACAATTTGTATCCAATTTTGACGGAACTTTTGTTATTAGCATGTATC